TGCTACGCTGGTGGATATGTGTTAGAAAACTTTACGAGTGGAGCGTTAAGATCCTTCTCGGACAGTCTATGGATTATTCTAAGAAACTGTATAGACAACACAGCTCAGGCAGTAGTTGTTGCATTTTTAATTATGGGGACGAGAACGCCGATCAAATTCTCCAAAGATGCGGTTATCCCCTAATGCCAAGTTTAGCTTTGAGTGCCTTTTTGTGTGTTGCAGGATCAAGCACATTGGGGCATTGAGGGTGCAGGTAAAGGGGAGAAATACAGACGCGGGTCCGTCAATATGTTGGTTTAACGATTTTCTATCTAATTGCACAGGGGGGCAGAAATGAAGGGAATATGGTTCTTTTTTTTGTAAATCGAGATAATTACGGACTGAAAATCATGTGAATGCAGAGACGAAAAAATTCAAAGAAAATAAAAAAACTGAAAACAAATGATAAAATTATTTTTTTTTTTTTTTTTTTTTTTTTTTTTTTTTTTTTTTTTTTTTTTTTTTTTTTTTTTTTTTTTTTTTTTTTTTTTTTTTTTTTTTTTTTTTTTTTTTTTTTTTTTTTTTTTTTTTTTTTTTTTTTTTTTTTTTTTTTTTTTTTTTTTTTTTTTTTTTTTTTTTTTTTTTTTTTTTTTTTTTTTTTTTTTTTTTTTTTTTTTTTTTTTTTTTTTTTTTTTTTTTTTTTTTTTTTTTTTTTTTTTTTTTTTTTTTTTTTTTTTTTTTTTTTTTTTTTTTTTTTTTTTTTTTTTTTTTTTTTTTTTTTTTTTTTTTTTTTTTTTTTTTTTTTTTTTTTTTTTTTTTTTTTTTTTTTTTTTTTTTTTTTTTTTTTTTTTTTTTTTTTTTTTTTTTGATCATATTAGAGGATGTCCTTGTTTTGGCACATTGTTTACTTGCCATCAGTGGCATTCAATGCATGCCATATGTACAAAAGTGTATTAGGGTATGCGCTCAATTCATATGGCATGTCGTAGACGAAAGGAAATTGTAAAGATAGGATCACAAGACCAAATTGTAGAGTTTTTAGTGCCCATAATTTATTTATTTGTTTCTGAACCTGGATGCTTTAAATTTTGTTATTACAGGACATGATTAGTGATACTAATAAGTACTGGTTCATGCTTGTCAACAATTAAGAAAATGATAGAAAATGAGTAGGGCTGCTTGTTTGCTCTGCTCTGAGTGTAATATATGCTTGTATAATCGGACGAGTATCCGTGATTGTAATGCAGGTGGTAGTAGTAGTCCTCTTAATTGTTCTGAAATGCCGGTTTTCTGCTGTTTACTGACTAGGGAAATGAAAAGGGATATTTAAATATATATAAATTATCAACATATTATAATTTATAGAATTGTTAAATGCCAGTCTAATTCGGTATATAAAATTGTATTACTGGTTGCATTATTGAAAACCAAATGATGGTTTGCCTTCTATGGTGATGAACTGATGCAATTTGAATCCTATGGCTTTAAATGCAGTAGAGAGTGGTCTGGCTTCTATGCATGTGATTTTGTTTTTGCTTGCTTCTTTCAGGGCCTTGATGGAGAATCAGATCCAAATAGCATACATGGAGGATGTGAGGTGCTATCCGGGGAAAAGTGGTCGGCTACAAATGGATGAGGCAAAGAACTACCTCTTGATTTCTATAGCTTGATGAGGCAAAGAACCCACCTCTTGATTTCTATAGCTTGCCCCTCTTACAAGAAATCTGCGAATTTTATCAGGGGGGTTCATAACATAAGTAGCCTAGAGAGCCTCAATTCTTTAGATACAACAGATTCCTAAACCAAGATGAACATGAAGCATATCAGCTCATCCCAAATGCCACACATTGACAGCAGTGCCATACAATTCTAGGTAGTGTTGAGAAACAAATTTGGTCGATATCGACAATAGAAAGTGAAAAATGTAACATATGATGTGTAATATATGCTGCAGAAAATAGCTATGGTGATGAGCTGCATCTTTGTAACCAATTGTCTTGTTACCAAAGAACGAAAATCCAAAATGCTTTTTATGAAAACCTTTCTTTGCCTTTTATATCTTTGGCATATCTGTTTTAAAGGTTGAGGTGTGCACATCTGTTTTTCAAGATTATAGAGAAGAGAAACACCAATTGTAAAAAAAAAACTGAAGTTGGGGGTTGGCCATGTTTGTTACTCTGTAATGGAGTTAATAAATTTTCGAGATATATGAACAATTCTATTTTTAGAGTTTTCCTAGAAATGCTTTTCAGAAATAATTTTATAGATATTTAGTTATATACTTATTCTTGGCATTAGTGATATAGATAAATCATACACCATTTAATTTATATAAACAAACCCAAAAAAGGACAGCTGACCCTATTGAATTTAATTTTGATTATTAAAAGACTTTGATGGCATGTTGTGTGTTTTGAGTTTTTATATGAGGTTTGAAATTGGGCTTGTTTTAAGAAATTGATGGCAATTTTGTAATTTATAGGAAATTCGAAGTCCTTTTGTTATGTTGTAAATGGACTTGGGTGTGTGTCTAAATCCATTTCATGTAATGTTTAGTATCCCTCATAATTTTATTAACATGTTTCGAACAACAATTGCTTTCTAATTTTTAGAGTACATATTTATTTAGGAGATTCACTATTATACCCAATATAGGAGTTCAAATTATAAATAAAAAAATCTTATATGAAATAGACTTTAGAAACACACCTAAAGGGTACAACATAACAAAAAGACTATTACTTATTTTAAATTACAAAACTACCATTGATTTCTTAAAACAATCTCAACCCCAAAACCTCATAAAAAAGCCCAAAACACTCAATAGGACATTAAAGTAATTTAATAATCAAAATTAAAATTCAATTGGGATAGCTGTCATTTTTTGGGTTTGTTTATAAAAATTAAATAGTGTAAGGTTTATTTATAGTTTTAATGCTAAGAATGGGTATATGACTAAATATCTATATTTATTTTGGGTTTTATCAAAACCGTTCTTAAGGTATGAAACTATCATATAGTCCTTTGTTTTTCATTATATATATATATATTGTCATGAATCACCCTTTCAAGTTAACTTCCACACAACAATTTTGTCCTTGCTGTTGGATATTGTTGAAAATTTTACTGAGTTAATCATTTTATTATTCTATAAATTTAGACCCGATTTGCATTTAAGTACCTCAATTTCCAAAATGGTTCCCTAATCCTTTAGCTTTAATTTTGTTACAACAAATGGTCATGCCGTCAATTTTGTTAACTTTTCTATTAAATGCAAGGGCAAAATGGTATTTTGTATCAAAATTGACTAAAATATGAATACAAAATTAAAAAAAACTAAAAAATTAAAATTAAACTCTCTCTCTCCCCCCTCTATTCCAATTTCTACTCCCCCAAAACTTTATTTATTATTTTTTGTTGGTTTTTTATTTGATTTGATTTTTATTTTAAAGATATAATTTTTTTTATACAAATTTATAAATAAACACAATTCTAGACATGTATTTATAAAAAAACTCAAGCACTATTTAAACATAGAAACACACCCAAAATCAACCCCAAAGTCAACGTTTTGGGTGTGTTTATAAATGGGTTTTGAGTGTGTATAATGATGGGTTTTGGGTGTGTTTATATGTTTAAATAGTGTTGGGTTTTTTTATAATTTCAACCCCCATTTTGGGTGTTTTAGTGAAACTCCTTTTTTTTTTAATTCATTTTTTGGTTTTAATATAAAAATACCATTTTGCCCTGCATTTAACAGAAAAAGTTAACAAAATTGACGGCATGAGCATTTGTCCAGACGAAACTAAAGTTAAAGGATCACGAGAACCATTTTGGAAATTGATGTATTCAAATGTGAATTGGGTCAAAATTCAAGGACTAATAAAACGATTAACCCTAATTTTACTAGAAACCTCGACCTCCACACATGCTAGCCTATGCATGTGCTTACGAGGAATTTACTATAGGAAGGCATTGTTTTTTTTGTTTTTTTGGTTATAAAGACTAGTATGAAGTGGGAGGGAGAAAGTAAGTGTAAAATTGAGGTTGAATTACTAGAGTGCTCTTGGTTGTAAAAACGAATATAAATGATAACAGGACTAACCCAATAAAAAATGGCTTTGATTTGCAAAACCATGATCTCAAGTTTGAACTTCCATAACATTATAGTAGTGTGTGTGTGTGAAACCCTCTCCCCTATAGACTATTGCTTGTATTAAAAAATAAAATAAAATAAAACTATTTTGTTCAAAAGGACTATAGTTGACATTTTATCCTATTATCAAATAGTATAGATTTTCATTTTATACATTTTATCCTATTACCATATTTGGAAGTGCTCATGTACCAAGTACATCTGATCATACATGCCTTTACTAAAAAGCGTTTTTGGTAGAAATGCATTGAAATATTTATTAAAAAATTCAAGTAGGTTATGGAAAAAAAACAATTAAATTTAAAAGTGCTTCTTGAAAATATACCTTTTGGAACCTAAAAACACTTCGAACATTTTTTGTCAAATATTTTTAGAAGCAATTTAGCCATTTTAAAAGTACCTTCTAGAAAATGACATAAGAGCACTTCCAAAAATGACATAAAGCAGATTCAAACAGGCATAAATTTACAGTTGAGAGAGCTTGTGAAAAGTGCATTGCAAAAAGAAGGACTTTGGTTCCCATTTCTATTACGCGTCACCTTTTGTCTGGTGTCCGTCTACCGGTCTTGGCATCACGTCGCGTCGTTGGTGGACAAATAAAATTATATATTTCGCCATTTCCAACTTTCTTTTTTCCTTAGGAGCAGAGAAAAGAAGAAAGAAAGAAAAAAGAAAAAAAAAAAACCACCACATATATATAAAAAAAAAAAAGATTTTTAATTATTAATAAAAAAAAAAAAAAAAAAAAAAAAAAAAAAACAAATCTCTCCCCTTCTTCTTTCTCTGTCTCCTCAACATTGGATTGAATCGGTTCATAAATTGAATTACAAGTTGGAGGAGTTTCATTGACTGGTGGTGGTGTCCAATGGCGTCGGGTCTCCTCCGCCTTGTGTTATTTGTATCTCTGATTGCTCTGTCTTTGGCCCGTGGTGGAAACGACATGGTTTTGGACACCGATTCCACCCCCAAAACTCCCTCCTGTAACAACCCTTACCTAATGGTAAGCTCCTTTCATTTTTATACTTTTTGTTTTCAAGAGATTGAGTTCTTAATTTGTTTTTGTTTTTTTGTTTTTGGAGATTTATGATGAAATACATGTTTGTAATCTGAGAATTGAATTACATTGAGTTGGGTTTTCTTGTTTTGTTTTTCTTCTGGAATTCAATTTCATACAGTTATTGTTTTCCTGCTAAAAACTCATTTGTACTGTTTCATCTAATTTCTCAGGCAAAGGTTAGGAATTGGGTTAATGGCCGTGAAGCCGAAACTTTTGAAGGGGCTGGGGCGAAGTTTGGGGCTTTATTGCCTTCCGAAAAAGAAAACGCCGACAAATTGCCTGTTGTTATCTCCATCCCTTGAATGGCTGTAACGCATCATCTTCAAAGGTTTCACTTTGATTTTTCTTAAATGGAAAATTTCTCTGTTATCACTTTAGATGTGAATTTAAACACTTTAAATGTAGAAACAAAATGTGCCTTGAGGTTCTAGGATATGATCAAGCATCATTGTCTCATGGAACTCACTGTATTTGGGTTGAAAACGGTCCCTTTTTCACTCGTGCAGTTATCTGGCGCTATTGCCTTGTCTGCCCGTGGCGATTGTGAGTTCTCCGTTAAGGCAAAAATTGCACAGTCAGGAGGTGCTAAAGCGCTGGTGGTGATAAATGACGACGAAGGTTGTAATTCTAAATGCACTTACTCATGTCATCAACATTTCATCATTTTGATTAACTAGGGATCATGATTCTTTATTTATTTTAAGAGAGCTGATTTTCCCACTCTTCTTTTGTCCACTTACACTCCCTTGTATGAGTAAAAATTATTAAAAGACAAAAAGGAGTGTAAGTGGACAAAAGGGGAGTGGGAAAATCAGCACCCTATTTTAAATAAGAAAAATTAGTATGTGTTGGGAGTTGTGAGTAAAACTTGTGCTTGTAGGTATAAAGTTTTCATGCATAACAGAAAAGAGATGTAGCATAACTATAAAAATCAGTTGCGAAAGTCGTGCATGAAAGTCCCCTAAGGAAGGGAGTACGGCTGGCTTTTTTGGAATGGGGGTTGGCTAGTGGTATTATTGAGGTTAGGGGGGATGGTATTATTTTATCAGGATTCTTCTTGTAATGAGTTAGGTTTGATGCTTGAATTCATCCATATCACGTTTCATCTATTCCTTATCTTTTAGGTATCTTAAAACATATTTCATGCCACATACTCTAGGAGTTTTACTCTTTGGTCAAATGCTACTTCTAAGTGAACATTGTTTGACATGTAAATACTTATTTTTGGGAAATCCTGCGTTAACCTCTTCTGAATAGTGATATTTCTGATATGTGCCGACCTTTTCTACCTTCTCTTTTTCTGGTGGTCAGTTGACAATCTGAAGCAGCTAAAAGAAATTTATCAACCTGAAAATTTACTACATAAAATCCAAAAGCTATCATGCAAATGTTTGAATTAGAGCACAATTTTCCTGTTCTGAAATTGAATGAAGAATTTGTTTTTTTTTTTTTTTTTTTTTTTTTTTTTTTTTTTCATCTTACATTTTAAGATTTTTATCTTGGGTCTTATTAGTGGTCTGGGGGTCGGGCATCAGATACTAAGACTGTAATAATAACAAAAATATTGGACTGGTATGGATGCTGCTGATGCTGCAGGACATGACGTTCCCTTGAGCATTGCTGGCGATTTGATTTCTGAACACTTCCTTAGCATACCATTTGTTTCTTTACTATATTTATTAAACGCCTTGCACACCTGAAGGGTAAAAAGTAACTTTTTAAGTATCTGGCGAATAATTAAGGAACTTAGGTACCATAATACGAAGTTTAGATGCCAAATGGAATCTTAGAAATGTGCGTAGGAGTTTTATGTATATTTATTGTTCCTTAGATCTATCTGTTTGATTTACTTTCTCCAGAAAATGTTATTTAAATTCTCTTTGAAGTAGCATAAAAAACTTGAAACTGAAAATGGTTTGTGGAAATTGTCTTACTTGAAATAGAACCTTAAGTTTAAATGTAACATCAGACTGAATTTTAGAAAAAAAGAAAAAGAAGTAATATGATGGGCAGTACTTGAGTCTAATTCTCGTTTTCCCTTAATACTAGTAAATTCTGATTTTTTCTCCCATTGTTTCAGGTCTTGCCAAGATGGCTTGTCCTGAGGATAGCACTTCTTTGAACATTTCGATTTTTGTTGTGATGATTCCAAAGTCAAATGGAGAAGCTCTCAAGAAATCTATTCAAGATGGAAAGAAAGGTTAGTTAGCTTTTGTTATTTATACATTTTTGTCAAATGCTTACTACCTTGAATGCGGTTAGTGGTGATATACATAACATAATTGGAAGATGGCTTACTGATGTGGGACAGTCAGGGAGGTCTGATTTAGGGCTTTTATAAAGGGTATTTCATAGCAAAAGGGCTTCCTTAATTGCAGCTTTAAAGGGGGAAGATTGATAGCTTTTTCAAGCGTTGGTTGGATTAGGTTTTTAATGTTGGACATATAGGTTCTCTATGAGGCTTGGTTGTGGCAGGGAATTCCATAGAATTTGCAGAAACGTAAAATGGAAAGTAGAAGACAATACTAGGAAATAAGAACATTAAATTGCTGTGATTTACTTCAGAAGAGAGGATCATATGTGTGCTTGTCTCCAAGATGGTGAGTTATGTTTTGTGTAGGGAAAAGGGAAGAGTGTCAATCATGTTTTTATTCATTGTTCTGTGGCTGTAAAGCTGTGGTCCAATCTGTTCAGGGAAGCAGGTTTGTCGTAAATATGGCCAAAGTGAAGTTATTCTTTGCTAAGTGAAAGGGCTAGTGCTTTGGTGGGGTAAAAAGGGCTTAGGCTCTTTGGAATTTCAGAGCATTGGCCATCATATGGGTTATCTGGATGGAGAGAAACAAAAGAATTTTGATGATGATAGAAGGGTGGATGTGGAAGAGTTGTGGGAAAGAGTGATTTTTTGGTCATCTCTTTGGGCCTTAAATTTGTCTGCCGTTTTGTTAGATTGGTATGCAGTTCGCAGTTAGCTATTTCGCTCTTGGTTTCGAGGCTGACCTGTGTTGATTTTGTTTTATTTTGTTTTGTGCAGTACAAATGATCTTCTTGTCCCTCGCATTCTAGTTTGAGTTTGTGTTTAATAAAAATTTCTATTTTATGAAAAATAAAAGGAATGAAAGAGGAACATAACCTAACCATTACATTTAGGATTCCTTAGGCTTCAATCTGAAAAATTGAGACTATAGGTACCTATTACTGAGTTATCTCTTCACTAGCTTCTGTTTCCTCTGGTTCATGTTCTGGGGTTTACAGTTTCGTTGGAATTGGAGTGAAAGAGAGTTCCAAGAATATTCAGGTTCATTGTCTTGTATAAACAAGGTCTCCATGCATCCAAATCATGTTGTAGAAACATTATGGTCAACCCAGTCTTATGGTAATGTTTATTTGGATATTTTTCCTTCAATCGATTGACAATCAAATTGATCCTAATATTATTTGGAAGGCTGGTATTCCACCTAACGTTCAAATTTTCACTTGGCTGGTGGCTGACATGCTTTAGAGACGGAATGGACTTCTTGCCCATCGGTTGTGTAGTTTGAGTGTATTTGATACAATTTTCTATCTTTTCAAAGAAAAGAAGAAAAAGATGAAAAAGAAAAAAAGAAAAAAAAAAAAAAAAAAAAAAAAAAAAAAAAAAGACGAACATAGACACATACCTACCTAAAGAGATTGATCTGAGGGTTCCTTAGGCGTGAGATCTTAAAAGTTGAGAGAATAGGTACCTATGGTCCAAGACAATCTATCACTGTAAGCAATAGGGAAACATATTCTTTACAACATAGTTCAAACCAAAATACAAGAAATACTTTTGCTTGCAACCAATATAGAAACACAATATACAGCAACAATACTTCCAAGGCGGCGAACTAAAATACTGTGAAATTTAAACTAGGTTCTACAAAACCATTCTAGGACCACAGAGAACATTTTCTTCCATTCTAAAATCAAGATAACATATCTATTTACAGATTTATAAACTCTATGGGTAAGGTTGACCAACTTAGAGAATTGTATGTATGCATTCAGCATTAATGCATATACCAAGCTAACTTGTTCAATCTACCAAGATGCTCACCACATACAATCTTTAAATAAAAAAAATGAGCATACCAACCTCAGGGAAAAGCATGAGACACAAAACAACTATTGCACTATGTATGTATCAACGTGTTCAAGACAAAGAGCCCAAAGACAAGCTACGAGGTTAAAGTTGGACTTGACATGCGTTTGAAGTTGAAAGGGGTTAGTTTAGAGCAAGGGTGGGTCTTTATGCTCAAATGGAATTTGTCAGCTGGAACATTGGAGGTCTAGGGTGGATAAAAAGGAGAGTTATCGAAGAGGTGTTGAATGGGGAGGGGAAGACATAATAGTGCTTCAAGAAACAAAAAAAAGAAGTGGTTGGTAGTAGACTCATAGGTAATATGTTTGAGGGCTGAGGTTTAAAGACTAGGTTAGTTTGTCATAGTGTGTTATGTTAGTGAGGTTTAACGACTAGGTTAGCCAATGTGATTGTACTTTTCAATTCTCAAATTTGTTTTATGAGAAAAAATATATGGATAACTCCTGTAACTTATTGCAGTGGAGCTTCTATTATATTCCCCCAAGCGTCCAGTGGTGGACTTCTCAGTTGTGTTCTTGTGGCTAATGGCTGTGGGAACAATAATAGTTGCCTCATTTTGGTCAAAGATTACTGCTCCTGAGAAGTCTGATGAGCGCTATAATGAACTGGCAGAAAAGGTTTGGACAGACAAGTCTCAGTTTATTGTCTTTGGCTTTTACAAGAAAAATTGTGTGGTGATCAGGATGAAGATATCAGTAGTGATAGATATTTCGATGTTGGTGACCATCAACGGAAATGATTGATTTAACATTTACTAAAGTTTCATTTAAAACTTCCATGTTTTAAAGCAAATATCTATCATTCTGTTGACAGTCACTAATATTGATATTGAAACCGTAATGTAGTCCATAAATTTGAGTAACGGCATTCCCGTTACGCCAGATATTTTCATCTCAGCCCTCTTGTTACTTCTATTGCTGTAATTATGGGTAATAGTATTTATATAATCTTTTATTGAATAGGAATCTAATGCTGGAACAGCGAAAGATGATTCTGAGGACGAAGTCATGAATCTTAGCGTGAAGGGTGCTGTGTGTTTTGTCATAACAGCATCCGTTTTTCTGTTGCTACTATATTTCTTTATGTCTACGTGGTTTGTCTGGGTCCTGATCGTACTTTTCTGCATTGGCGGTATTGAGGTACTGTGATAAATTCTGTTGTTTATTTTCTTCTTGATTAAATAAAAGTCTGCTTGCCAAATAGTGGGAATGAACAAAATTGACGATAAACAGAGTTCTTGGCATTTTTGTTCTTGAATTTGAGAATGTTTCTGGTAATGAAATATTTTGGGTGTTGGGAATTAAACTAAGTAGAACTGTGCATTACAATCTGTAGAATACAGAATAATGCACTTTTTTTTGTGGACAAAATACAACTTTCATTAAGAAAAATTAAATTGTACAAATCAGAGGACAAGATGTCCACTGTCCTAAAATCCTACTAACAACATCAAATAACAACATAAGCAGCATATTATACTAGTCAGAACCATTACCAAAAAAATATCTACATAACAGCAGCTTTCCATTCTGAAAAAGTGGAAAAGAAAGATCTAGCCATCAATGGTGGGGATATTGAGGCTCAAAAAGATTACCAGAGTCAAATCCTATCCCCAAACATCTTCAGACTACTCCCCCGCCACATCCTGAATGCTTTTGCATTTTATGGAAGGGATGGAGGAAATGTAGAGTATATTGGCTTTACCTGTATTATATCACCTATTGATTCCTTATTTTTCTTTGAAATGTTGAATGGTAACATTCACCCTTTCTATTTGAGTTCTTAGTTGAGCAGTTATGTTGGCATTTTGTTGCATCCTAGAAAGCTATTTCTGAGAATGGAAAAGACAATGTTTTTTTTTTTGGAACATATTTTTATTGAAAAGCAGGAAAAAGGTGAAAAAAAGAAAGAATTAGAGAATAACTTGAGAAAAAATATTGTGATATACTCTGGTACAAGCACAATCTTTTTGGGTTGTTCTCTCAAATGTGTTTTATGTGCTACTTTCTGTCATTCTCCCGTATTATTACTTGTGTGTCATGCTAGTTGATGTAGCTTTTGTTTTCAGGGAATGCATAATTGTCTATTAAGCCTGATTTTGAGGTACACTCCACATTTATTTCCAGTTTCTGCTAAACCCATCACTAGCTGCAGTGCATGCAATAATTTCTTTCAGTCGGTGTTCCTTAATGTCTCTACTACTTGTTGAGCAGAACATGGAGAAGTGGTGGACGGAAGACAATAACTTTGCCTCTCCTGGATGAGGTGTCGATTCTCTCACTTCTTGTGCTGGCTTTGTGTGTGGGGTTTGCAGTTTTCTGGGTTGTAACACGACGGGCATCATATTCGTGGGTTGGCCAAGATGTTCTTGTAAGTTTCAAGTTTTGATATATGTGTTCTAGGCTAATCCTATTATGCATTCAGCGAAATTACCTGCAGTTGCAGAAATTTGAATATTTTTAATGCTGAATACTTTGTAAAATAGAGTGGCTGGATGTCCAGACTACTGTGGGTCAGTCTTCTGTTCTACCATCTCAGAACATTTCTAATGGCCATACCTGCAAGATAGCTTTTATGTACCACCCCTTTAGTTAAGCTGTTGATGGCAGTCTGATGCATACTATTGCAAATTTGGATATATGCATTTTTTAAACATTTTTTTTGCTCTTACTTTGTGTTAGTCACCCAAAGTTCTTCTATGAGTCTAAGTTGAGTTGTTTGTGGGTTCCCTATGGACTGCTGGTATCTTGGGAAGAAACCTGAAATTTTACAATGTTATGCCATATGGATATGCATCTTTCACAACTTGCCTACCATTTTTAATCGGCTGATTTTTAGCAACATGTTATTCCTGGTTGTTTACATGGTGCGTCAAGGTGTGTTGAAGATGGTAGTAGACCTCCTTCGATCCTTTAATTCACTTCTGCTAGTTAAATATCATTTTTTGACAGGGTATCTGCTTGATGATAACAGTCTTGCAAATTGCTCGATTACCTAATATCAAGGTACCAGTCCTTTTGTCATGTAATTAATGTATCAGTCCTTTTGTCATGTAATTAATAAATCAGTCCTTTGTCTCGTAATTAACATATCTCAGGTTGCTACCGTACTACTTTGTTGTGCATTTGTCTACGACATCTTTTGGGTATTCCTGTCACCCTTAATGTTCAAAGATAGCGTCATGGTTGTGGTAAGTTCTGATCTCAGTTTTTCTTCTTTTTCTTGGTTTATTAGATTACAAGTTGCATTTGTTTCATGTTAACCATGAAAGCTGTTGGCACAATTTTGGTTTGTGAGAACATTGAGAAGGTAGACCAGTTTTTTTTTTGGAGCCATTTTGCTTATTGGAAGTCAAAGTTGCAATGGCTGGAGAAGCTTTTTTTTTTGTTTTTTTCTCCCCCCCCCCCCCCCCCCCCTCCCTCCCCCATGCATGCTATGTTTAAAGCATTCCAAGCTTCAGATAGATTACCTTAGGAGTTCCCATGATTTCTGAAAGATGTCCCAAGATTACCTTAGGTTTGTTTATTCCCTAGTCTTTCTAGTTCCAAATTCTAGGATGATTTAACCAAAATAGGCCAGAAATTTTCCGAAGGATTCACCAAGCAACATCTTTTTTAGCTATTAACTGACGTTCTTTATTGTTGTACCAACTTTGATGAATCTAGAAGATGCCTATATAGCATTATATACCTTGAACTGGAAAGTGCATAGGTTTTTGTCTGAAATTCATCAATTGAAGTTTTGGGGCGTATTTCTTTTATTTATCATTCTGTTGAGGCTTATTGTATTATAAAATGATTCTACATTTGTTTTGCATCAGAAGTGAGTTTTATAAGGGGAAAAATTATATACTTAGCTTCTTTATGGTCATCATTATCAAGGATATTCACTTTAGCGTAATTCATCTTGACATCAATCTTTTGTGTAGGGTTTTGACATCCATTTGATTTTATTCTTCTACCTAACATATTATAATGAAATTTGGAATAGCAATCATACTAGTGTTGTAATTGTAAAAATGTTAGCAGCAGTCTAGGTGGTGGCCCAATGTTAAGGCGTAAAGGTTTTTAATTATCTAACCTGACTTTGGTTGTGTCCATCAGTCCACCAGGCCAGTAGCCTGGTTATTGGGCGATGTGGCAGAGAATAGCTTTGACAAGTTTGGACTGGTTGGTTTTGTCTTTACATATATAAAGCATATGCACATGCACATATATTTCTACACACAATAAAAACATTGCTTAAATCATATCATGGTAATTCCACCCCACCCCCCTCCCTCCCTTAGGAAAATACTTGTTCTGGTTCACATCCATATTACGTCATAAATATTAAACAAGAAAATCTATTGGGCATCCTATGATTCCTATTACAATTTATTTTCTCTTTTGGATGGTTGGGGCAATTTTTTTTTGTTATTTCAGAAATCTGGGTTCATTTCTACTAATGCTTTAAGGTCAATTGGTTCACCAGCAAAGTCTCCAATAATAAATGTCTGACATCTTATGCTTGTGATCCCCGCTTTAAGGTCATTGGTTCACGAACAAAGTCTCTATGAGTAAATGTCTGACATCTTATGCTTCTGATGCCCATTTCGAGTAAACTCATGTTCATGCATGTCTAATGCTTGTGCTTACATGATATACATTGCCAGGCAATTGATTCAAGGGTGCCTGATGGGCTTGACTGTAGTATTAGCTTTGACACATGACCGCTTTTATTAAATCCTCATATTTTTCTTATAGGTTGCTAAAGGTGACAGTAGTGGTGAAGGCCTACCAATGCTCTTGAGAATCCCTCGCTTTTTTGACCCCTGGGGTGGTCAGAACATGCTTGGCTTTGGGGACGTTCTGTTTCCGGGTTTGCTTATTGTATTTTCTTACAGGTACTGATTTCTGCCCCAATCAACTTTCTATTTGTAAATAGCAAATCAAATAACATTTACCAGGTTTACTTTTTAGTTAAATTAGATATAGGTCCCTATTAACACATTTTCTTCTTGGAAAGAGTACAATATATCCTTTTATGATTAAGTCCTTGAGCTAGTTGACTAATTGGAAAAAGTCCTTAGTTAAATGTGATTCTCTCTGGTTAAATGAGATTTTTATCATTATATAGCATACATTCCCAAAATCCCCGTACCAAGTATTAACGGTTATATCTGTGAGTGCGAAACATCATAATGATATGTAGAGTGATGTATTTGTGAAAGAGATACATAAACCTTGGTCTTCTTAAAATATCTCAAAAAATGCTTAAGTTTTATGAAAAAAGAGATGTAAAATGAAAGTTATGATATTTTAAAGTCATATAAAAAGTGAATGGGCCTTTTTGAATATCTCTTCAGTTTCTTTAAAATTCCCCCGCCAAACCTTGAGATCCAGTTGATTTGACAACAGCTCCTCTTCCTCCCTAGCCTCTTCCACTTCAAAAGAGACACCAACTTTACCCAATTCCACCACCCGTGTACACCCACCAAATTTGCCCCTGAATTACCTGAAATTATCACCATACTTTTAAGACCTTCCTCCCCAGCCTCCAAGTCCAGATCTGCTTCACCGAAACCGAACTCCTCGTCCTCATCCGAGTCTCCAAGAATCGAGTCCCTTTTTTATGCAGAACATGCTCTCCAATTTTTGTCTTTTTTACTTCCTGACTTTTATTTTTAATTCTCCGTCGGGGCGTAAAACCATAAAATGACTAACATCGTTGTTTTGTGAATGCATGAACTTATGTGTTAAACTTTGTTAGATGGCCTCATTAATTATAATTAAATATATAAAATTAACGAGGTCACCTAACAAGCTGTTTCTTTCAATTTCCTTTTTCTTTTTAATTTGAAAATTTTGTGTGCATTTGCTTTCAATCTATCTTTCCTAATTTTAAATCTTGTCTGGGCTTGGCTGTCTCAGGTTTGACAAAGAAAATAAGAAGCGTGGAATTAGCGGATATTTCCTTTGGTTGGTAATTGGCTATGGAATTGGTGAGTGCTCTTGCAACATCTATCTGTTTCATGTTATACACTTTCTTCATATATTGGTAGTTTATTAATTTCATACTGTCTTCAACATGACCAAGCTATGTGTGTTCATCTTGTCTTCGTACTAATGGATGGCAATTCTTGTTCCAGGACTTGGTTTTACGTACCTGGGTTTATATCTCATGAACGGGAATGGTCAGCCTGCTCTCCTATATCTTGTTCCATGTACACTAGGTAATGTCAAGGAGTTTGGCCAATAGAATTTTCAGATGTTTTACTTTGTCTTCTATTCCTTCCTGCTTATCCTGCTCTGGTAATCAGGTGTTACGGTGTTTTGGGACTGATAAGGCGTGAGCTAAAACAACTTTGGGATTATGGAACGGAGCCAGAGGTATCGCGAAATACCGTTGAGCCTGCTGTAGAAGGCACTAGATCAGTCTGACTGCCCCATCTCTTCATATGATTAGAGTTGATGCTGATCTTCATAAAGCTTATGGTGTAAAGAGATTCATTTGTTTCTTTTGTACAAGAATATGTGCTCAACATGTGCAGAGAATACAGTGGTAAAGGGCAGTGCCGGCTTATAACATTTCAAGTATATCCCTTTGCCATTTGCTGTACTCATGTATGTATATTATCGTTTATTTTTTTAATTTAATGGCCAAGACTCAGTTATTCCTAGTAATTTCTTTCTGAATTTAGATCTTATCCTTGTCTTTGCAATCCTTGTTTTTCAATCTAAGCTCTTTATGAAATCTAAGTGTTCTTCCTAGTAAAACCCAAAAAAACATTATTATTTATAGATTTTTAATAAGTGACTGGAATTAGAAACCAAGAATTTCCTAAAGGATGATTTGGATCCACAATGGAATATACTCTTGATTTTTTATGTTGATTTAATCTTTTATTTGGTCTATGCATTTTATACCAATTATTTTGTTCTCGAGTATTGTTGGATGCATCATTACATTCGAGCGACTAATTATTAAATGCTTAAGATTTATCACTCTTATCTTAAGAGGATCAAATTTTTGTACCAGATTGTGATTATTCATGCTTAAATAATCCATGTTCATTGGTAGTTATTGTAATCCATTTTTGGTACCTTATGTACGAGTTTCTTATTTAAATAAAGTATGTTTATTGGTTTAGGGTTTAGAGGGGAATGTTAAAGTTAATTATCAATATGAACTCCCTTGATGGCAACGTCTACGCTACACCTGTGTACCCATACACCATCTATTTTTAATTTAATTAGCATGTGCTTTTGTTTTGTTTTTTATTTAGAAACCTGCTATAGTAGGTCAAGGGTTCATCATGACTCTCTTTCCTTGCTCTTCAAACTATCTCTGCGGCTGAACTTCAAACCCCAAAAAATCTCTGCTACTGATCTTGGTGCCGCTGCTTGTGGTGAAGTTTTCCATCTCCTCTATTGGTTGTCATCTGTCTTCCAAAATGTTTTTGTAGCAATAGCAAGGGTCTCTACGTTCAAACTTGTAGGCGACGTTTTTTAGCAAGGTTTGTAGGAGGAGACTTTACTGTATATCAATCTGTGAGTTACTGTATATCGATTTGGCAATTGATTGGTATCGATCGGGCAATATGGGTATCGATTTGGCAGTTCTGGATTATCGATATGGCAATTCACTGATATCGATTGGTCTACCGCTTTGCAATAGTTATAAATTATTTACCAAATCGATAGACAGTAATCTCCAATCGAGAGACAAGCATTGCCAAACTGATATTGAGTAATTACCAAAGCGATAAACAATTTGTCACTTGATAAAAACTTATGAGTGCTGCTATTTCCACTCTCATGTCCTATTTTCTCACCCATCATTTAAATTTTAAAAAGTACAATCTTATCTTTCCATCCACTATTATTCCTAAAATATCCTTGACACCTGGACATTCACTTAACACCGTTGAGTCCAAAAAATTAAAATGGAAACAGAAAATTAGAAAATAAAAAGTTTTAGCAGCCACCCGCCACACAATTCACCAAACCTAACAAGAACCACGTACCTTCCACCGCCAGCCAAGCTGCCGCCGCCTCCTCCTCCTCCTCCTCCTCAGTTGTATTAAAAAAAAGCTTTGAAACTGCTTCAAACCCTCTGTCAAACCTTTGTTATGACCCACTAAGTCCACCTAAATCCCAATCTAACCTTCTTCTCCTTTCTTTATTTCAATCAACCCACGAATAAATAAACAAGGATTTAAAAGGTTTGTATCTGGGGTTCTCTCTGAGTTTCTGTTTTAGTAGTTCAACATTTTGCCTAAGCCTCAATGACAAATCAACCTCCTAGTGTGATGGTTGCCTATGTACTGACTAGACACACAAGGCTGGAAGAACACATCATGCGTGCATCAATGGTAAAAGAATGGCCTGTCTTATTTGTTAGAAATATAGTCATCTAATACACAATTGGTCGCGTGGGTAGTTTGCTCGCCCTTTCCTTCTCAAGTTGCCCAGTTGGGAGAGAGATGTGGCTGGTGGTGAGGTGAGGAGGGGAGGTTGGTTATCGTGGGGTCGAATGGGTAGTCTTGTGGTTGTTTGCTGGGTTTTTTTTTTCTTTCTAATTTTTTTTAAACTTTTATTTTGAATTGTTAACTTAGAGTAAATTAGTGTCCAAGCGTCAACAAATTAGCTAAGGAATTGAAGTCTAGAATAAGTGGGTTGCGTGACCTTGGAAGTCATTTTACACATGGGTAAATTTGTCTTTAAAATTTTAAAGATAAGGTGGGTGAAAAAATAAGACAGGTGAGTGGAAATAACAGCACTCAAACTTATAAGAATAATGCTACTCTTACCACATTTGTATACCACATCCCTATACCATCTTATGTGGCAGCTGAGGTGGACGGCCACGTCAATTAAAATTATTTAATATTTTCTTTTCTTTTATAATTTATTACAGTATTTGTTTTTCTAATTGTCTTAATTAAAATACACTTCATTGATTTAATTGATGTGACATATAATATGGACATGCCACATCATGTGGTATAGAAATGTGGGATAAAAATGTGGTAAGTGTAGCATTACTCAACTTATAATCACCCATTATCCATAAATATTTGTTTCATGAATGCAGGTTCATAGTAGTAGAGACTGTTCATTAATTGAAATTATAATATGGTGGGAAAGAAAAATAATGGGAATGGCAAAGAGGAAAAAACAACAAACGACGACTCAAAGATGGCAAATAGTAGTAAAACTGGCTTCTTCTTCTTTTTAACTATTTGTAAATTGTAAGTGTTAAATGACTTATCTAGTCCATTAAATATATTATATAACTAAATAAATGAGATTCGTTGTAAATTTTTTATGTAGGAAAATCAAGGGGATGAATGAAGCAACAAAAATTGGTCGAGAAGGTGGATACCAAGGTGATAAAATGGGTCCAATCCAACACCTAGAAAGATTTATATATCCATTCACACTTTAATTGAGAATGAATTGAAACGGTTTTTTTTTTGGGTGTAAATCTTTGTTCCTCAGACCAAGAAAGAAATTGCGGCTATAGGGAAAAAGCTGGATGTTAATAAAAAAGCGGAGTATGAATACCTAAAAATGGTTATGCTAGCATGTCGAAGAAGATTTCTTTGAAGATAGGCACGCAGTGTAGTCCAAAGGATTTGAAGGACACTAATAAGTGTTTTATGTGATGAGAAAAAAAATGTCATTGTGTAAATGGGTTTTGGGTCGTTATTGGCAGTGCAGTGCGACAAGTTATATCGTTTAATGTGTCGATTTCTGGTATCAAGCTTGATCCTTTCGAATCATTAATCGCGCTACATGTGCACTTGGAATATTCATGGATGTTTTTGTAATTTATAAGATTTAGGTTCTAATGTACAACGTTATGATATTCCACTTCCCGAATGTTGTAATATTAGTTCTTATTGTAGTAAACATATGTTTTTACTTGAAATAAGACCCCATTTACATCTTTAACGTCCACAATTTCCAATTCATTGTAATTGGGATCCTTACAAATATAAATAGAAGATTACCATATTATGGATTAGAGTTTACCATGACATGGTAAACCATGTGCATAAACTTGTAAATAGGCACATAAATCTTGCAATTTATAAGATTTAGGTTCTAATGTACAACGTTATGGTATTCCACTTCCCCAATATCAAGGATGCAGGTAATGTTTAGTTTCGACGGGTTGTATCCTCCCGTTGCTTGTATAATCCTTTTTGTGCATACTCATATCATTAAGATTTCGGTTTGGACAATTTATCTTGTTGTGATCAATACCCTTGCACTCTCTGCATTGCGGGGCTCTTTTGCCTTTTGTTCCAGTTGTTTGTTTCAACATCCATTTCCTGGAAATGAGGAATTTTTTATAGATTGGATGCAGTTACTAATTCATGATCTGGCATGTACAATAACATGCTATTAATTTATAATTAATAATAAAATAAAGGACACACTGTTGTAAATGCATGAGTTGGTGGATGACCACCATACCTCTTAGTATTCCACCATTGGATATTATGTAACCTATGCACTAAGTATTTGTAATTAGTGTTTGTAACCTATAGGTATATTGTAAATGATGGTATTCAATCTCCTATCTTGTAAGCCTATAAATAGGTGGTTCTACCAAAGATTAACGAAAGAATAAACATGATGAAACTTCATCTTTAGCATATCACTTTTCTCTACATTTTCTCCCTCTAGTTTTATAACACATTATCAGCACGACATTGCTCTTGGTATGTTTTCTTTCTCTGAATTTTCATTCTTCTTATATGAGCTAGAGTCATTACATGGTATAGAGTTTCTTTGTACTCACCATCAGACTTCATCATGCTTGTTTAAGAAAAAAAAATTTCTTATTCTTATTACACATGAATATAATGCCATGTTTTTATTTATTTATTTGTTTATTTAATTTAAGTATGATCTTAATTATTATGATGAGTTTGTATTATACAAAAGATCAGGGCCCGAAATTCCTTGATCCTCATCATATAACTAGATTAGGACCTAGAGTTCTTTTGATTGAATCAGAACCTGAAGTTCTTTGATTCCAAATAATTGAGGGTGTGAAGTTCCACGAATTTAAAGAGCACATAAGGACATGAAACTCCTCGATTTTGTATTCATCAAAATCAGAATTCCATGAGGCATACATATGCCAAGAACCCGAACTAGAAGTTTCGAGTGCATATACATCAATTTGAGTATGAAGTTCAAAGCACAACTATTAATTCAATTTATTTAGATCTACGCATTCGAACCTGAAGTTTCGAATATATATTGATATGAACCTGAAGTTCATAGTTTTTCATGGATCTTAATACTATATATGAACCTGAAGTTCATTACTTATTTGTGCCTGTATGAACTTGAATTGGTTGGAAATCCAATTCTTAAACTTGTAGTTTTATCTACATATTGAATCCACATTAATATTG